ATACTCTTTCTGTTAATCCATTCAAAATGACAACATACACGCTTGTGTACGCTTGAATTTACACCTGTGTACGCCTGAGGATAAATTGCTGCAAGGTAAAGTTCAAACGAATTCTCCTCAAATCGAGAAATAAACAATGACTTTACAAAATAATATACACGTTCTGTTCACATATATTTTGCATTGAAATGGTTATCAAAGTTATGACGGTAAATAAAAACGTAAAATATTTCAGTTCAATATCAGTAAAAATGTTCAATAGATATTTTATGAAACAATCTCAACAACAATTTATGAAATTTAGATTTTTTGTCAAAAGAGAAGCACAATTACCCCAAAGCGAATTGCGAGAAGTGGTTTCGTATTCGTTATAGAAAAAAATACTAGTAGTTTATGTAAAGTAACGACTCTCGTACGGTGTCGCGTTAATATCTTTTTAATAAATTGGTGCAATTGGATTGTTACGATTGTTAGCATTTTAACATCGCCAGATCTAAATAAAAGTTAAAGAATTCCGGTAAAGTAAATTAAACAGATGTGCAATTATTATTAATTGGGAAATGAAACATTTAATTTTTAAGATTAAAAGTACTATTCTTTTAACTTCATATTTTAATTTTATGCAAATTGCATAGAACGTAATCGAAAATTGTTCCACTGTAATATTGTATACAATTCCGGAATTGACAAAGATTGAATGTTTATTTTCAATTAATTTAAACAATTTAATTATTGTTTCTCTATTGTCATCGGATATTTTATCTTGGTGTATTAAACACGCTATACTCTTTCTGTTAATCCATTCAAAATGACAACATACACGCCTGTGTACGCTTGAATTCACACCTGTGTACGCCTGAGGATAAATTGCTGCAAGGTAAAGTTCGAACGAATTCTCCTCAAATCGAGAAATAAACAATGACTTTACAAAATAATATACACGTTCTGTTCACATATATTTTGCATTGAAATGGTTATCAAAGTCATGACGGTAAATTAAAACGTAAAATATTTCAGTTCAATATCAGTAAAAATGTTCAATAGATATTTTATGAAACAATCTCAACAACAATTTATGAAATTTAGATTTTTTGTCAAAAGAGAAGCACAATTACCCCAAAGCGAATTGCGAGAAGTGGTTTCGTATTCGTTATAGAAAAAAAAGTACTAGTAGTTTATGTAAAGTAACGACTCTCGTACGGTGTCGCGTTAATATCTTTTTAATAAATTGGTGCAATTGGATGCAACAAATAATGACCATAAAATGTCAGGTTTGCGAGATCAGACAGTAACCTAACCAGTAAACAATTGAAAATCTAGGGATCAATATTTAACATTCGTCAGCAATGAGCAATTTTCATAAATAAAACATGATTTAGTCGAATACTTTGCGAGTAAAGAAAAAGAGACTACCATAGATTTGTTATTAACCCCAAATGCTTGATGGGTACAAATCAGTATTCAGGAGTTACCTTTTTTGCATTAAACCACATTACAACAGAAATTGGAAAATAGGGCGTGGAAGTATTTCTAAGACATTGTTGTTTTCTGTTCTATGTAGCTTTCTTATTGGCAAACATGGTGATAGATTTTATAGATGAAAACAATCGATCTGTTTAAAATAAGAAATGAAAATAACTGTTTGGTGTTGTTTTTTTTTTTTTGGCAAATAAGAAAAATGACCGTTTGATTTAAAATTGTTTAAAATTATTTTGAAATAGATTTTTGAAAATAATTTACATGTGAAAAGGCTAGACTTTATGGCGTAGGTATGTGATTGAGTGGTTTTGTTTACAATTATTTCCCATTATTTCGGCAGCGAAAATCTGCAATAATTATTTGTTCATCATGTTGTGTGATTTACACATTATAACAAAACTAAGAATATGACGGATGAATTTAGAGCTGTTTAATGTCCAGTGGCAACTATTATATGTATTATTAGGAGGACATTTAAAATGTTATAAATATGAACAAGGACATCCTTTGTTATGCAAACATGTGTATCACGGCACAAGCGATGACCTATAGACCGTGTGTATCATATGTATATTTAGGGTGGGGTTGCTCCGAATAAAGGAGGTATAGATACAGGAAAATAAAGAAAAAAAATATAAAATTAGAATAGTGTATAACGGGAAAAATAAAGACAGAGGAAAATGGTATAAAAAAAATTAAAGAATAGAGGGTCTAGTTTTTTTGCCGGACAATTGTTGATGATAGTTTAAAGTCAAGTGCATTTATAGTTAAAATAATACACAATCGTATGTACATTGGTAGGGATTTATGTTTAGGGTTGATGAGGCACATAACGAGTAATTGTTTTTATTTGAAATTTCTCGAATGTTTGTTTTTTTCGACTGATTTGATAGATGAATAAAAACAAACTATAATTTAAAAAAAATGGTTTATTTACGATATATGGATACAACTGCTATTCAGTCGATTTTAAAATACATGCGATAAAAGAGAATACATAAAAATATTTAACAAACCTTTTGGACAAAAGGTCAACCTTAAGACCCCGAATATACTTTTGTAAGAACATTAGATTAATTCCGAATTCCATCTTAAATCAATTGTTCATTTAGGGAAAAAAATAAATGTTAATACCCTAGACTATTTTCAAAAATTGTTGACTGAATACCCTGCAGACTGCAGTTTACTCGCACATTCACCAAGTACGCATTTCTACGGCTAACTAAATTCATAATCGTATCTTTTAATTTGTTTAAATTTATTTCAGTGTTTATTTTTCAAACTTTTTATGTAAATAATTTTGGATCAACATCGAGTCAGATCAAATTATAATTTATCAAATTATTAATTAAAAACTGAAACATGCATCCAATCTAAATTTTACGCCTATTATCACCTATATAAAAAGATATAACAGAACACCATTCATGTTTTATATTTAAAAAAAAACATATACGCTTAACAAAACTATGCACGCCAAGAAACGATGTACGCTAAACGATACGATATACGCTAAACGAAACGATGTACGCTAATACGCTAAACGATACGGTATACGCTTAATGAAACGATGTACGCAAAACCATACGATGTACGATAAAAGGGCGCTTATGTTATCGTTTATGGTATGGTTTATGGTATATGGTTTCGTTCGTACATCATTCGTTCAGCGTCCGTACAACGTTCGGTCAGCGTTTCGTTTGCATTCGTACACCGTTCGGGAAGCGTACGTACATCATTCGGGCATCGTCCGTACATGATTCGGGCATCGTTCGTATTGTTAACTTTTACGTTACACGGACTGTAACATGTACACAAATGCATGGATATTATTAATAGTAGCTAAAATTGTTAATATGAGAATGTTACATTGCAATTCGATTCAAAAATCTAATTTTGAGAGCTTTTACATATTTTGTATAAGTACATAAGCAATCTCCTTATGATATAGGTTGGGCCGACAACTTATATTCATACGTATCTTCTAAATATGTGGTGATGTATTAATTGCTTACTTTCGCAATGTGTCTTGTTAATTTTTGTTCTTTGGAAAAATAATATGATTAAATATCATTCATGCGTTAATTGTTTTTATTTGCCTTCGCATATCAGCTGAATATTTGTGAAGCATATTTACGAAATGATGTTTTTTTTCCATTTACAATACCAGGTTTTTCAAGCAGAAATTTAATTATGTACTGATACATATGTATTGTGGTGTTGCTGGATTTTCAGGAATTACAATTTGTCGATAAGCACATGACAGTGTAAACATAGATGTGGTAAGGGGAAGCAAGGAATTAATGTCTAATCAAATACACAACTTGTTTTAAACGGACTTTCTTGGATTAATACCCAAACCACGATAATGTTTGAGATACTCTAGAATTACATGTGTTATACGTTCGATTCATCTTTTGGTAGTCTCAAATTTAAACGATTTATTTACACATTCAGTTTTTTTTTGGAAAACCTATGATCCAAAGAGTGGCTGTTTCAATGAAGAAACCAGTTTTAGTGTCTTCATAAAAAAATTGATAGCATCAATTTCAGTTTGCGCTTTTTGTACCCATTTATATTGGTGATTCAACTTATCTTATTCAAAAGCAAACGTTTAACTGGACACCACATGGTCATAACATATTTCCTAAATATGTAGGATAAACATACACAAATGTATTTATTTGCAATGTGAAAATAATATATAATCAATTATTTACAGATGGAAGAATCTTTGCTGTACGAACATTTTGCTTAAAGTCCTTCATCAAGTTAAATCGATAACAATCTTCATTAGTAAACCAAGTTTAACTTATACGGCTAGTTTAAAAGTCCGAATAGTTAATTATCATATCTTGTTCAGTCTTTCAGTCAATTTTCAGACTTTCCACTGCAATCAGTTCCATACAGTTCAGTAAATGTTCCTGGAGTCAGTATTTCGACAACATTCTTTAGTTACAGATTATCGTTGGTTATCTCAACGATATTGATTCTCTTGCTTGAGCGGCGAAAGTGAGAAAAGCAATCGAGTTGAGATGACCAATGATAATCTGTTGATCGCTATTTTGCCTATGACGACGTTGATGTTTAAATTGACAACGGCACATGCGCCCTAAGTTTCTAGCGATTATTTTGCATACCACTCTACTGTGCTGAGAAAGGAAATTAACGGTCACTAAGATCAAAGGACAATTTCGTAAAATAACGATAATAGTAGTTATCTTAGTGAACGAATCAAAACAATACTGAATTGTTTGAAATGTTACTGAACAGTACTGGATTTACTGCAAGCAAAGTGTCTGCGTATAACTAAATTTACAACATGTAAATGTATGAATAATAACTTAACTGTTTTTATAATTTTTTACGTTAAGATCGGTAAAGATCATAATTCATGTACAAGACGCACTCGTGTACATGAACAAACAATTGGAAGCAGTCCTCTTACTTAGCTTAGTTCAAATAGTAGCTTTTACATACATGCGACATACAATCAAAAACAGTTCAGAAGGTTTACTTACCAAAGTCTACAGATGCTCCTTTCATTACCTATAAGAAACATTGTCCATGTTGTTAGTGTATCAAATAACATTTTAAACACAATAACCAGTCGATAAATATGAGGCAAAAGTAATGTACTGACGTTCAAATTTTATAAATCTGTTAAAAATACAAATCAAGATAAAAAACACATAAACCAAGAGAATCAGATAAACGGCAAACGTACTGAAAACATGTTCGTCTGTCATCTAATAAAAAAAAGGGTTTGGACACCAGATCTGTATTGAAAATTAGATTGTCAAGAAGTGTATGAAATCTCTTTCAAAACGATACAAATCAATGCTATTAGTATAAGTGTTACTATGAAAGTCTCTATATAAGTCAGATATGGATACTCAAAAATCCAAAGGTCAGTAAGAATACATACAATCTAAATACCATGTATCTTGCAATAGAATTAGCATGTATGGGTTTTTTACGCTTTACACCACTGTGCCCAATTCAGAGCTTACATACATTATAAAGGAATTTGTCCATTTTTAAGGCAACAGTAAATTACCACGATTTCTCAAAATGAGCGAGACTGGGGCACTCGTTCATAAATCTTTACTCAGTACTCGGAGTACAAAGATTGTGCTCGAAACACTAAATCCAGTATTTTGATTGGTTGATTTCTGAGTCTGAGTATGGTGATCGTGCTCGAAAGATAAATGACCGCAGAGCCGGACGCGTCGACAGGGTAAGCGTCTCGAGCTATGCACCCATAACATAATATGCAAATAAAGAATTATTAAAAATGTCACAATCGGTAAATTACAAATCACTCAACTATATTGGTATCTAAAGATCTATAACCCCGAAAATATGTTGCGAGTGAGTTAAGACGCCAACAAATCATCGCGGTTGGCCGTATAACTTGCGTAGTGTCGATTGTGGTCATTCTTTCCCGTACTAGTAACTCTGAGGGAGCAGTTTTTGTGTAAGAATCACACTCCTGTAAATGCGTCCGTATTTTGCGAAAAAATGAAAAGGAAACTTTATAAATGTCATGCGTGCGAGGCACTTTTCTGAATTGATATTAATCAGAAAGTCAAATGCTTAAAAAAACAAATATGTATAAGAACCGAACAGTTGAAGAACGAGTAGACAAAATATACCTAAAATAATAGTAAAATCCCTTTAATGACATCTTTGCCGGAGGGAGTGAGGACAGCTGACACGACAGCCAACAAAAACATTCAATAACGTAACGTATTAACTGAGATATATGAACGATAGAACAAAGGTGATGTAACCGTTGACAAATTTGCAGTTGACACCTGAAAAGTTGAAATCCTTACATTTTTCAAAATTCTGTGTCAGTATCTTGAAAAATATCAAATATAAAGCAGACACTCTTCCTACTGTTGTATACCTGATTTCAAATTCACTGGGTTATATGAAATGTAAACACTCCTTCAGATGTGAGTCATTGAGTGACAGAAAATCATCAATCAATCAAAATGTGAAATTAAAGAACTTTGTAAAAAAATAATATTGTCGTTAACAAAATTTCTGGTTGAACTCGGCTTCGTATGAATACAAAAACTAGTCGGTCAGTATTATAATACAATAAATACCCATTGGATTACCGACTGTCTGCTGAAATATAATTCTATCAATCACTACAAATATGTTGTCAATCAAAATGTCTAGCATTGTTCTTCACAGAGTAGGATTTGTCATGACCTTAAACAAGGAATTTGTTTCTACATTTCCATTGTTTATAGAAAAAGCTCTGTTTAATGAGATATTGGGGTCGATCTTTCAAATAAGCATGGGAATAGTATTGTAAAGCTTGTAATAATGAACGATGATGGTAATACTGCAGAATTGTAATGATTGTGATTCAAAAATGTAAACTAGATCTTTATAACTTTTAAGAATGCACTTACTGAACAACACAAAATCATCATAGTCCTGAAAAAATAATAAAGGCAAATGGTAAGATACAAAACTGTTACCTTGCAAAGGGTATGAGGAGTTTGTATGTGTCCTCCCTCTACAGCTTCCTTAATTTTTCTGAATGTCAGAGTTGATTTCTCGTGACATCGACGCAGTACTTTGAATTTCAGTACTTCTGGTTCACTTTCAAATTGATAGAGATCGCTCCAGTTAACGTATGGAAGTCCAAGATAGGTAACCAATTCCCGAATCTCATCTAAATTGTACAATGAGGAAAGCCGACACAAATGAAGGGCTGTCGGAATTTCGCTTAAGAACGCTTCATGTTTAACTGTAAAAATATAGCATAATAGTAACATGAATAAGGCGCAATTATAGTGTTCTATGATTGTGTCGGAGTTTTTAAATTCTAACTCGTCAGAACATGTTCTTAAGAAAGGGTAAAAAGCCTACCTTTGATGTTTAAAAGGTTAAGACAGTACATACAGTATTTAGTATTCCACCTTTCTGCATTAATTGAGTTACTTATATGGCAGAATACAGAGAACAATTATATCTATAATTAAGATATAACACATAAAACTGATAAGTTGCGTGCTTTATTTCAATGCCGCCTAAAAACAAGAGACACAAATCACCGATATAAGAGTACTCGAATTTACTGAAATCTAGCTTAACGCAAATTACAACTTACAAATAAATCATGTTTTCCAGGACTAAAGTTCACTACCGTATGCACAAGTGTACTAAGTTTCATTTTGCTGTGAACACAATTAAAATGGTAAACTACTTTACTAATAGTTTGTCAATACAAGGGAACTATAAATGCATGCAAATGAAATGTTTGGCTTGTTATAACACTAGGTTTCACAGAACAATTTTTCTCTTCGGAAAATGCCTGTACCAAATCAGGAATAAAGCAGTTGTTTTACATTCGTTTCTTTGATTGATAACTTTCTATTTTGTCATTTTTTATGGACTTAGGCCTTAGAGTTCGATATTTTCGTTTTACTTTTGTACCTAACAAGTGTAACCTTTAGTTAAAGGACTGTTTTCTTTGCAATTGATATCTATCATTATTGTTGAACAACCAGACCTATCTAAGAGTATTTCATTTTTATAGGGCTTTTCATTCGGTGTCAACAAACCTATTTAAAAGAACTATACACCCCAGTACAATGACCATTTATAATAAACTGTATTATAAATAACGCTGACTTGTACTGGTAAGTTGGTAGCTGTACGGTTAAAAGCTTGGTGCAGTATGCTTGGCGAAAATAAATCAGAGCGTACCTTATTCAGAAGGAAATCGCATTAACTCCAAAAGGAGCCAGAACGGTTGCGTTTACAAGCTCAGTCAGAATGTCTCAATCGGTAATCGGTAAAATTACAGATCAAACCATCAACCTGATATATAAGGATCTAATACAAAATAAAAATATAATTTTGAATCTTTGGTTTTCTTTTTTCTTTTTTGTGCTGTTTTCTCTTGTTTATGCGTGCATGTGTGTGTGTGTGTGTGTGTGTGTGTGTGTATGTGTATGTGTATGTGTATGTGTATTAAATAAAAGAGGTGGGAAAAGAGCAATCAATAGTACATTTATTGAAAACTATCGAACTGATGATAACTGATTAAGTTGATTTAATCGGGTCAAAAAGGATATTTGTGTTCTTACTATGTTGAAATTAACTTATTTGATAAAAATGGTCATTTAACACATGTTTGTTTTTTTTTAACAAAAACGATATGAACCAATGCTTCACCCACAAAAGTAGTTCATACACATGAGTATCTATATAAAAGTGAGGCGAAAGATACCAAAGGGACATTCAAACTCATACATTTTGATAAGTAATACAAGCCCTGGAATATTGTATCAATTGGGAGATATAAACTCCGTATGCAGACCTGCTGGAACGTTGCTACATAGGAATAGAAAGATCACAACTAATACATTCTAAATATGAACAATTTATTCAGGTAGAGATTAATTTAATGGTAAGATGAGGCTATTTCGTCAGTTTTCTACTTTTATGAACATGGAGAATGTTATTTTGATTTTGTTGATTTCAAAAGGACAACATTTGCATGATCGAACCTTCTCCTTTGCAAACATGATTTATGCATGAGCAAGTTTACGTAAAATTATTTCTAGAAAAATGCATAAGAAAACTGTTATATTGTCGGTGATGAATAAAAGCTGGATGTTTGCAATACCAGCTGTAAAAATAGGTAGGATAGTATGCCTGCACTTAAAACTATGGATGAATAGTTACCTACCTGGACAGTTTAATTCACACTGTATTTCTGACTCCTAAAAAACAAGGAGAAATCATTGAGATTGTGCAAGTTAATAAATTGACGATGAAAAGTAAAAACAAATCTTGAAAAAGGCGACACGTTCATTTAGACCATATATGATTAAAACTGTTTGCAAATATTTTCGAGATATTGGGCTTTCTGTTCATAAAATCTGTGCATTTTAAAAGATTGAATAAATAATGCGTACGTTTCCAACCAACAGTTGTAGGAACAGTTTTAAAAACCAGGGATGAAGTAATCATAATCTGTAATCGTAACGGATAGTAATTGAGTATTTTTTTTCCAGTGATTGACAGTAATCTGTAATCAAAGACATGTTTGATTAAATATAATCTTAATTCAACCGATTACAGCCAAACATATGATATAATCATCGATTATGTTTCGATACAATTCGATAACTTTAGTAAAATAGTTTGATGAAATACAACATAATTTAAATGAAAATGTATATGTATTTATCACTTTATAGTACAGATAAAATATTCATTTCAAAAAGAGTTTATCAGATGCCTTATTTCTATATATTGTCTCTTGCTGCATTATGATCAACCAGATCTCCTACCAAATTTTACTGTACATCCAGCTTTCGAAACACATGACTGTACTTGATCATCTATAATTTAAGACCTTTTATTTCCAAATAAGAAACAATATTTAAAGTAATAAAATATCCCCATTTTAAGTTCTGTACTACATTGAAGTAGTAAGCTTATTTGTATTCAAATTCCTTAAAGCATAATTTTCAATTACAAATGGAATGTTAGCTTAAAATAGATAAATAGTCGATTCGTCATAATGTTATGAAACAAATAACTATCTGCAGCATTACATGTAATATATGTAGCTTAATTTCAGTATAACATTTGTTATTTGTAACTGAATCTTCAGCATGACATGTAGTATATGAGATAAATCGTCAGGATTAAATTCATTACGTGTAGCTTAATCTTCAGTATAACATGTATTATGTGTATCAAGAACGCCTTAAACAAATCACTTGGCTTTAGTACAAAATAAATAGGTTAGATTTTCCTTATTCATCATTTATGTAACAGATATAGAATGCACTAAGAGTAGTTAATAGAAATATTTAATTACCTTTTCTGTTATCCAACGAGACAGCACAAACTGTTCGTGTTCTATTTCATGTTTTGGACATATCCAACTCTCATCGATGTTGTTTAATTCCTCAATGGATAGCACACATGGATCTTCAACAGCACTGCAGCAAATGTTCAGTTGAAAAGACCTTGCGGTAACATCACACTTCTCACTGCTGGTTTGAATATAAAGATGGCTGATGTTCTGAATGGCAGATTTCAAACATTCACAGATACTTGAAACCAGGTCTTTCATTATAAGAATTTTCTTTCTAGCATGAACAAGACGGACAAAAATCCTTTCATCCTCGCATAGAATATGGATATCTAATGACGGATCAATCGTAAATACTGCAGATCTATGGAAAAGCATGTCATCGTTTGTCTCGCCGTATTTCTTCACATCAAAAATACTGAGGCAGTAAGTGATAAACCTGAATGATAAAGCCGGAGGTATTATTGCAGCATTTGAATTGAATGATATTGCAATGTTTCTTTCACTGAAGGATGGAGACTGAAGGTACCCAGTATCATCTTTAGCCTGGACCATGCTTGCTACATAGTAAAAGTCAGCCGGTATTCGATTGTGATTAGGATCATATCTCTTTGGTTCGACTAGTATATCAAGGTGAGTCATCACTGCTAATAAGTAGTCCTTGCGTTTTTCAAACATGCGATATTTCCTTTTTCTCCAAAGTTCTTCTATTGCAAATTTGGAGATGACTCCTTTCTGGCTCATCAGATTCCACAAATCCTCTTTTAATTTTTCGCCTTTACAGAAACTTTTATCGGTGATTATTGATTTAAAAGCATCAATGAGATACGTTGGCAAAAGTGTAACATGTTGATCCAACCCAGGTTCATCAAAGTATAGAATTTTGCCAATAGCATGCTGGAATTTCAGGAAAACCTTGAGTTCAGCATCTGTCAATGGTCTTATAGGATGCTGAGTGTTAATCTTTCTCAAATCGTCAAATGTTATTACATTTATATCATTTCGGATAAGATTTTCGAATTCTAATTCTAGAGGGATAAAGCATTTTGGTAAGTTCTGCCCCCATGTTGGTTGGAGCTTGGACTCTCGTATAATACTTGTTTTGATCTTTGCCATTTCTGGGTCATTTTTGTTTTTAGCATTTACGAAGATTCTGTCTTCAATAACCAAATGTGACATCAGAGGGGATCCCTGAAACATGCTCTTTACATCTTCGAATAGTTGTCTTCTCGTTGTTTCAACTTCACTCTTAAAGAATGATACATTGTATCAAATCATTTCCGTTTGAAATTAAAACTAAACGTAACATTAGGAATTTAAAATCAATCATTTGTATCTTAAATTCTTACGTTTCTGTCAGTAAAAGGTATAAAACGTGCATATATTTAAATATCAATAAAAGAGCAGCATCACCTTTATTCACATAATAAACACATATCTACCTATCAGTAAATTAAATTAAAAGACAATGACGCTATATATGATTAACCCAACAAGGAAAATGAATCAAATCAGTGAGATAAAAACCGCATTCACTTTCATTGCATAAACTAAAGTTGTGTATACTTACATGTTTAATCTTGTCTTTATGAGTAAAAACGATCATAATCTTGGGAAATCCATGCTTGCTGCCCTTGCAGTATGTCACAATTGTATTTATCCAGAACCGCAGGTAATCTGTAAACAAGGACATTTAAAATAATTATGAAAGATAGGTATTTTCATTCTTTAGGGAAAATTGCATTTTTGTTTGTATTTCTCAGCTCGAAATAAAACAATTTGGCAATAATAATAACAAATAATACATGTGTTCATTGAAATTGTAATTTTTCAGCTTCAACTGTCACTTCCAATGTAAAACCCATTAGTTGAGTATCAAGATACAACAACATGACAACATAAAATGACAATTAGAAAAAGAAGCAATTAAATGTGCAAACAATACTCGAAGGGAACAAAACGTTTAATGACATGAATGCCATAGTCTTCCTTATATAGATTTCCTTCATTCTTATCGTCACATTCTTTTAGTGATCTTTGACAAAGATATGTCAAAGGTCACTAAAAATAACTAATATGGCTGGGGTTTGCAACATTATGTAAATGTACACTTTCAGCCAGTTAAATGTTGAACTGAAAGTTGTGTACAAACGTATACACTACAATAAATTCATTAATAAACAGACATATCGCTTGTAGTCAGTTAAGATCTATTCAGTCTATATTCAGGCTTGATCAGTTTTTGTTATTAATCTTCACTTCATACTGTTCAGATGATGTTAAGATCAATCTATCGTTAACGGCTAAACTTCTTTTAAATGTGCAAAATTGGACTGTGCATACAAATTTTAAAATGTTATGATACTTATGCTTTCTCATTTTAAAGAAACTTATATTTATACATAAACTTTCAAATAATGGTATACATGTACAAAAAGGTCGATGTGGTACAGTATGAATGCCAATGAGACAACTATGTCCAAATAATTTGGAAGTAACAAATTAAAGGCAACCATACAGTCTTCAATAATAAACAAAACCAATAATGGATAGTCGGCTATAAAAGGCTAGATGATGGTTTCTATTACACAGTTGTCTCAATGGCGATCTAACAACAACTTCTGATGTTATAAGGCATTGACAGCTGTCAATTTTCTGTAGCAGAGAGAATGTTGACGTATTACATGTCTTTCTATTGATAGAGTTGTTGGACTTCTGTGTTAATGATACATTCATACATCTCCCTGTATTCCTACTAACTGTATAAGTTGGCTGTTGATCAAGAATCAGACGGAAATTCTTTTTGTCTTTATTTTGAAAAGAGTAGTTTTAGATGAGGTTGTTCATATGTACAGTGAAAAAACTCCTACAAATGTCTTCTATAATACTGGCGAATTTATTGTTTTTCCCTTGACATGGTGTTATTTTTCAATCAAAGAGATCATGCTGTATATATTGAAAGCTGCCCCAAGAAACTCTCATAATTAGTCTGAATTGAAGAAAAAAAAATCCTTTGTTTGGTTGATAACATATTTGAAAAACTCCTTAGGGTTGCATAATTATTCGTTCGTTTGAAATTAAAAAAAATATTTTTATATGTTGTACATGTTGTAGTATACTTTTGAATGTGCATTACGTATAGATACATACTTCGCAGTGTTTAATCTTTAGGAAAAAAAATATATTTCTCTTCTGGTTATTTGTACAAACTGTTTACCTCTCGCTGTTTTCCGTCCACTTCTTCCTGGCAGATATTGATCAAATTGACAAGGGTCATCAAGGGTCCTACTACCATCCAGTACAATCAAATATATAGCTCGATAGGACAGGAAACTTTGGTGCGTGGAGTAAAATATATCTTGACCCCCAAAGTCCCATATTATTACCGGAGCTACATGTCTTTGGTGCAATTTTTTCTTTCCTACCCTTAGAGACTGCTTCAAGATGTGTTCTTGTGTAACTGATACCTTTATTTCTTTCACTTCTTTGGAAACTCCGAAGAATCTTTTAAGTTTTGTAATAAATCTAGGGTTAGTAACAGATTCTACAGAATGTGTCAACCCAGTCGTTGCTTGCTCTGTTGCAGATGACTTTGACAATGGTTCCGTTTGTTCTTGAACGAGTGAATCGTTCATAGAAAAACTGCTTTGCTTTTTACCACCAGAAACCAATGGCGATCCATGATTTGGCTTATTTTCTTTTGATTCATCTTCTGTTGCAGCATTTACCTTAGTTTGGTGAACTGTCATCGGTATAGCATCCATGACGTCTTCCAATCGGGTGTCTTCATGGGAATAAGTCAATTGATCATCTGAACATTCTAGATTACTTGCCATTGCCTTGTTGTTGTGAAGATCTCTGTGTTGACTTTCTATATCAGACAAAGTATTTATCGG